TATATATATATTATATTTTTTATTTCAATTTTTTGGATCCGTCCGAGAATTTTATATTAATGTAAAGATTTTTTAAAGGATTGAATAAAATTGAAATAAAAAATGTTACTTGAATGTATACTCACGTCTTACATAAAACTATTTTTTTGCATATTTAAGCCAATTCAGTCTCAAAATGAAAATTTGCATTACATTTGCTAATGTAACTTTCACAGCTCTTTGTATACCTGATATGAAATCAAATTCAGTTCGTGATCAGATTGACTTGCTCAAGCTAGAACTAATAAACTGATAATATCTGACAAAACTAAAGCAAATGCATCTCTTATCTTATCATATGTGCATTTTATTTTATTTTTCCACGTTATTAGTTGAGCTTCAGCTACTTAATTTTTTGTTATAAATTATTCCTTAATTAATTAATTAATTAATCTATTTGTTTATTTATTTACTCACTAGCTTCATTTTCATTTATTCATACACTTATTATTTCATTTATTTATTATTTCTATTGAATGGATTGCTAAAAAAAGTCCACATGTTCTGTAATTTTCTCAATGATTTATTTATTTGTCTATTTATTCATTTATTTGATCATTTATTCATCATTTATTGTCAATATAACTTTTTATTCGTCAGTAAAACTAAACTTTTTTTTCGTGACAAAATTTTGCATGAATAATTGTTACAGGCTTATATATCAAATATATATCAAAATTGAAAAAAAAATGACTAGTAAAAATATGCAAATAATATTCTTTCTTTTTGAATAAATTTACACAATAATTAAATCTTTGATTTACATAAGTATTTACATAAATATGTCAAGTATAATAAAAATCACTCAGTAAAAAACTTTTGAGTGCAAACTTTTTTGCATTCATTGTTTTTTGTTGTTGATAACTTTTGAGTGCTAATAATTTACTTTGTAAAAATAACTTTTGTAATATTATAGATAAGCGTTTTTTTTTTCTATTAGTAGCAATTTTAGATGTTTCAAAGTTTGCTTAATCTTGAATAATTTTACCTGTGGTCAAAATTGCTCCTTCAAACTTTTGCAAAGGAGAAGAAAGTGAAGTAACAATAGCTTATACCCAAAACTTTATTTTCCTAGCAACGAATAAAATTATGGCAAATAGAAATGTGAAAAATGAAAGATGCATAGGAAATGAAATTTTTTTCATTCATTATGCAAAATTTTGTCCGGCTATCTGGATTTTTATCTCATCACTTTGCAAATTGCTAAAATTAATTTTTCTTTTGAATACTGAAAGATGTAGTAGAGTAATATTAAAATTATAAGCTGATATCATCACTAGGATAAATTAGTTCTGATTTAACAGTAAGTAGCAATTGACAGGTAACTTTCCATGTGGCTTTTTTAGCAATGTTTGCTTTAATAATTCCTTTTCGAAAATTTTTCTTCAATTGTTTTCATTTAACACTTACTCATTTGATAACTAATATTTTGAAATGAGCAATGTTTATCCCGCTGAATTATGTTCAAATTTGATAAAGGTTGAGTATTTAAATTAATCATAATTATTATTTGCATTTCAGGAAGGTAAACGATAAAGTTACATTCTTGGCTTATTTTTGCCATCTTCCTTTTTTCCTTTTTCCTTCTAAACTATTTTAAATTCATTCGTGAACTTCCTTTTTACATTAAGCATCTTAAAAGTTGATAAGATTGCATAAATAGAGAAGAATATTCCGAAAACTATAGCTTCTTATAGAAGAAATCTCATAACTGAAAGCTAAAATATAATTTGCATAAGAACAAAATGTATAAATTGCTATAATTTTCTTAAAGTATAAAAAGTTCTGAATAAAAAATTGGATATTATTTAAATAAATATAATGCTTCATTAATCTCTGGTAATATACATAAAGCAAACCGTTAAATAACAAAATTTGTCAAATTTTATACATAAAACAAAGAATCAAAAAATAAATAAAATTGCCTACAAGTAATAATTATTAGTGATCTTAGATTTCATTTTTAATTTCTGTAATTCGCACAAAAATTGGCAGAAAATGCTTTTTCCAAAAGTAAATATGCACTGCAGTTTTACTGAGATTAATGAATTAATCTTATCAAAATTCATATTCAATGCAAAATTTTTTGCATGCTAAAAAACTGCAATTTTAGTCTCAAAAGATGTTAATTAAAGATTTAAGATTCAAAATAATTGGAGATTTTTAAAAACAAAACAAAGTATTATTTCATATGTAAATTTAGCTGGAGGATTGAGACGGTCGCAGACAGGACGGGTTTTAACCAAAAAGTAAAAAAAGTTGCGTTAGTGATGGCAGTGGTACCGGGAGGTTATTTGCTACCCTTAATGTACCAGATATGGTCACATTAAAAGGTAACAAATCACGGAAATATAACAAAAGCAAAAAAACAAGTGGTGGGTCATGAAACGACGGAAAACCGGAACGGTGCTAAAGCAACGAATTTTGTTGCAAACAACAAAATTATCCTGCTCAAGCATCATTTTTCTGCTATCCTTTTTTGCCTTCGTCAAGTCTGCTTATGATGGTAAGATTCTTAAAGTTTATAAATTCAGTTAAACAGCAAACTGATCAAAATTTTTAATAATAATTAATGCAAAAGTAGGTAAATTAGTGATAGTATTGAAAAATAGGGGAAGGGTAGCTGTGAATATCAATGTCCTTCTTATCCCTTTCCGTATGATAAAAGCACAATAAAGATGGTTAAAATAAGCTAATTTTTGCTGATGATCTATTTTGCTTCTGAAAATCTGTCAAGTACCAATTGATGTACGATTGATTTTATCTGCTTATCACTTTTGTTATTTCTTTGCCCATTTCTACTGCTTCCAGACTGGAAATACCAAAGTTACATACAGGCATTGTCATGTAAGTTCGGTGAATTTGATTTGAACCCAAAACCTATCCACATTATAATTATTATAAAATTATAAAGTTAAAGATTGATATTCCTAGCGGTTCTGTGTGTTAAATTGTTTTTTTTCGTTTTTCGTTTCTTTTTTCGGCAAAAAAATGTTTAAATTTTAACAACATTGTCATGAAGTATTGAAAGGTTATACTTACACTTCTCCAACTTTCCCCTTTTTAAATTTGAAATAAAAAACTTTTTGATCAAATTTTGTAATAATTTTATTTCAGACAGTGTAAAATTAATCATTCGACCGGATTCATCAACCGTGGTAGCAGATACAAGAGTAAGCTTTTTTTGCCGTGCTGATGGTAACCCTTTGCCAACAGTAGTTTGGAAAAAAAATGGCCAAATGATTAGTGACCCGAGGTAATCAATAATATATAGTAAATAATCACTGTCATCTATGGTCTTATATTTTTCTTTTAATAACAAAAGAAATTCAATTGTTCTTTACAAAATGTTACTACAGAGCAAACATCTGCTAAGTCTTATATGCATAATAAAGTATATTTAAGAATTAAATTTTTATTTAAAAACTATAGTGAAAGTATGATCAGTATAGGCTGAAAATGTCATTCAAAATATCAACGAAGTCAAATATCACAAAATTCGGACAACAGTGATAAGCAGTAACTCTCAAAAATACCAGAATTACAAATGTAGAAATCAAATTTTCATCAAAACTTTAACTATCATTGATTATGACAAGCAGTAACAGATTTTATCATAAATCTATTCAGATATTCAACAAAAACTCTTCCAAATGGACTGAGTACGCTTAGAATTGAACCGGTTCGGTTATCTGATGCAAACACATCAATAAGCTGTACAACAGATAATGGAGTTGGTAATCCAGTTGTTGCAGATGCTATGTTAACCGTTCTTTCACCCGGTAAAATTACAAATTATCATATTAAACTGAAAATATTGAATCAGTTAGTAAAATAAAGGCATAAATAATTAATAACTCTATTCTATTTTGTTCCAGATAACTTACCAGCAGGATTTCCAGCAATTGAATTACATCCAGTATTGAAATCAGTAGAACAAGGGCGAACAGCTCATGTATCGTGTCGCGTACGTGGTGATCCACGACCAAAAGTATTATGGCTTCGAGATTTAATGCCAGTTGATATTCGATCGAACAACCGATATTCTGTCTCTACTCTTGGCAATCCAGGTGATTTTTTAATCTTCTAATAAATTATAGCTGAATAATTAACAAAATCGAGTTATTTATAATGTAAACTCTCCCAATCAAGTTGTTATAACATATATGCGCAGATTTTTTGTTTCAGTCTTGAATTAACTATTCAGAATACTCATTCCTCTTCATAATATTTTCTTCAAAAAAAAAAAATGCATGTCAAAGGTTACTTTTGGTTGCAAAAAAATCTGCCACAGTTAATATGACTTGCATGAATTATGCATAAATTTGTTTCAGACTATGTGGCACGCTAAAATTATTAATATACCTATGTGTAATATCTCTTACGTTTTCATCAAGTGCACACGTGGAACATGTGAAATAATTATTATTTATCAATTTATATTGTTTCATTCATAACATTGTAGTAGTATATAATATATATATACATTTTTATATTATGACTGTAACTTCAATTAGTACTTTTTTATAGTAAATTAGCTATCAAGATGTTCTCAAACTTTTTATATATAAAATACATCATCTACTCAATAAAAGCATGTATAATTATATCAAATATTTTTATTTGTATGGTATTGAAAAAAATTATCAAAATTATTTCTGTGTCATACTGTATACATAATTAATTTTTTCATTAAAACAAACCAGTAATCTACAAAATTGAATTTATAACTGATAAGAGATCAAGTGATTACACTATTTGCTAATGTATAACATATTTTTAAATGTTTCTGTAGCTTTATTGAGATTTGTTCCCAAAAATCACCATTTCCAATTTAGCAAAAGAATTTCAATGAACGTAAAATTTTGCGATTAGAAGTAAAAAAAGAAGTAAAAAATATTGCTTAAAAAAGCAACAAATTAATATTTGAAAAAGCTTAGACACTACATTTAGAATTTAATGTAAGAAAAACGACTAAACTGAATATTGTCTACATGTAATAATTTTTGAAAGATCTTCAAGAAGAAAGTAGAACTGAATAATAATGGAGCATATCTCGTAACTGATTTATGCTCATAACTGCATAAGTTTTTACTTATGCGTTAATATGATGTAATAATTACCAAAAAGGAATTAATCTATCCGCCAAATTTGAAGACCAAACTTATGTTTTAGGTTTTCGATTGAAAGCAATCGGTAAGATTCCGTGTATGTGCTATTCAAGAAGAAAGCACGCACATTCACAGCTTGCCTTTTAACTTCACTATTCTCTTTTCATTCAAGCACCATTTTCTATTTTATATCATAAAGTTATTACGACAAAAACAACTAAATTGATAGTTGCCTTAACTTTTGTGGTATTTTGCAAAATTTCAAATTAATATATGCTATTCACGGTTAATAATGAATAAAACTGAGTTTTCTTCTTTGAATAAAAACTTTTGAAAAATTATTTGACATATTATTCTCATAATAAAATTATTAAATTTTGCAAAATACTTAATTAATTAGCTTTTTCAAATTTTAAAATATCAAAATTTTGCGCAATTTACTCCTGTGTACTTTTACATCTTTTCTCTATCTCTGTTCTTTTTGTGCAACAACTGTAAATAAATTTTCAGTATAGCATACAGTCTTTATTGATATGTTAAAAAATATGTACAAAAAAATGTTAGCTCAATTTTGGCATCCCAAATTGCCTTAATAATTATTGTTTTGAAATATTATTCATTCAAAACTGTTTCAAAACGTTTATATTCAATTAAAGGTGAAAAGTATTTAGCATAGATTATTACATTGACTTTGTATACTTTCCAAACTGTTCCAAATTGCACCAAATTTTAAGTTTTAATTTCCTATTTCACAGCTTTGCTGTTTTTATTTGTGTTTTTTCTACACATATCTGCTATCATAAATGATTATTTTGATAATACATGCACACAAAAAGAGCAATTCAAAGTAATACATGAAAACACTGAATGAATGGCATGATAATCTTTTCTTGTGCAATTTTTCACTTTCAATTTTAAATAGCCAAAACAATTGTCAAAGTGTAAATTTTAAATTCAGGCGCTTTGATGATACAACAAGCCAAAGAAGAAGACCAGGGAAAATATGAATGTGTTGCAAGGAATGCACTTGGCGTTATGCACTCCAAAGCTGCTCACTTGTATGTCAAAGGTTACTTTTAATTTAATTTTATTAACAAATTTTTGTTTTGTTTTTCTGCAAAAATTCACATTATTACTTTTAAATCAATTTAACTTTGACAAAAATTCTCAGAATTCAATTTCCGATAACAAATTATCAATTTAAAACTTATCTTTGCGTTATTTTGTTTGCTGAAATTATTAGAATTAGATTGTGTCTGCAAATATTTGATCATAATGTGCTCATCTCAATTCTATAATTCATGCAAACAGTTTTTTCATTACTACAACTTTAGTACCATTTAAGTACAATGAATGTCACTTTCCATTCCAATTCACATATTTTTTATTTTTCAACAATTTGTTCATAAGCCAATTTTTTGATACTTTCTCATACTTTAATTGTTATTGATAATATTTACTTTGTCAGAAACAACAATAAGTAAGTAAAGTTATTTGCTGCAATTACAAAACAAATGTTGCGCATATTTTCAATACAATAGTTGTGCATTTTGTTGTATTTTTTATCAAAAACTGAGAAAATTTTGAAAAATTTTGTTGAGTATTATTTTGTTGAGTTCAAATTCATTTGCTATATACTTAAATAATATCATAATGACTTATGAAGTGCTGTATAAGTAATTTCAATTGAAGAATTGCTGAAAATAAAATAAGATTCTAATGTAATGAAGCAGTACTAATTGTTTTAGTCCGACGAGTGCCACCGTATTTTTCTTACAAACCGGATAGGTTGTACAAGACTGCCCCTGGTGGAGCATTGAATCTGACATGCGTAGCTGTAGGATACCCAATGCCACGAGTTTTCTGGAAGAAATCAGATGACACGTATCTCAGCGATCCTCAGACAGCACCTATTGGTAATTATATTGCATCTTTCCTGTTGACTGATAAATTTAATTCAATAAATTCATTAAATTTTTCAGGATAAATTAGACAAATGATCTTACTTTTCAGTGAATATTTTATACTTTTAAAATCTTACTATAAATCATTTTTTATTTTATTTTTTGTACAAATTTTTTGCATTTATTTACATGTTCAGAATTTAAAATGTTATACTTTATTAATTTTAGGGCGAAATGTATTAACGCTAACGAAGATTGACAAAACTGAAAATTATACTTGCATTGCTGTAAGTAAACTCGGCAACATTGAAGCGATGACAACTGTTGAAGTGAAATGTAAGTACAGTGTTATTTTATAGTTCTATATTATTACTGCTATTTCAAGATTATTAATTATATTATTTTAGTACTTGTTTTTATTATGACTGATATTGATAGCAAGTTTTTTACTAATTCATTTTGTTTAGAAAATACAAGATTTTTACATAACATAGTAAATACTTTTTATTTTAACGCTATAATGTGACACCAAATCTATTACTTTGTTTTTGATTTAACTATTCATGTCTCTTTTCACTAAAAATATTTCTTTACACTAATACAGTCCATTTATGGCACAATTGTATATTATTGTTACTGCAGTAAACATTGCAAACTATTAAGAATACAAATTATTAACTGATTTCTAATTTATGATATTTAAATTACAATATTGTAGCATAATTTTGCATATTTCTTTAGAGTTTTTCGAGATTTAATTGCAAAAGATGGATGATTATTTTTTCCGCTTGATCTTAAACTTTTTTCACTCAAGTATACCATTTGAAAAAGAAGAATAACTTTAAATAATCAAAAAGGCAATAAGCAAAACATCTCTTGAATGCTTGAGAAATGACATATAAAAATTAAATTATGGCGCTGATTTTTTTGCTCAAAAAATGTGGAAAATTAGTGAGCCACAAAGAATGTAATAGCCGTTTAACGAAGTCTACAACTAGCCATATGGACAAACTTTTTGACCAAACTTTTAGCTTTTTTCTTTATTGCCAATTTTTGCTTTTTTACTAGTAAAGTGGTATGACATTTTTTGATTTCTGTAGTGCAGTCGGATTTACTAAACGTTTTCACTGCATACTTATTTCTTTAAAGTAATAAAAAACATTGATTATTTATTACATTTTAAGTATAAAGAATTTACTCATTTAATTCTAAATTTACTTTGTATTTGAAAAATCGTTACTTAAAAAATTTATATACTCGTGACAAAACTTTGTACACTTCTTTGAAATGCCACATATTTCATTATTTTAAAGGTATTAGTAAAGTAACAATTCTTAACTTTAATTTTGGAATTGAAATCGTATAGAAAATAAAAGTATAAAAAATTATTATTCAGTCGCGATAATTTCACTTCGAAAAATCAGTAGCAAGAAAATGCAGAATTTCATTCTTTTATTCATGAGCTTTACATATGCTTAAGTTTTAGTTAATCCTTTCTCAAAAATGTCAAAGTAAAAGAAATTCAAAAATTTTGCAGCACTACCTCATGCACCAAAAAATTTGCAAATTTCGGATATAACATCGAATAGTGTTCGAGTAAGTTGGAGTCCCGTACACATTGAAAGTGAGCCGGTAAAAAAGTATATTATCAAATATCGTCAAAAGTAAGCAATTTGGTACTTTCTATTTGTGTTACAATAAAAACGTTTTGATAGTGTGTTGCTTGTTTGATTTCAGTTTATTTTACGATGGATAAGTATGCATGACGGTTAGAAATTTTTTAGTGATTGCTAGATACTACTAGTTTAATGAGCAGTTTTAATCGAAATTCATCGTGCAGTCATCAAAACTGATAATTGAATTGGCATACTAAAATTCAAAAATATGTTATACAATAAGAGAATACTTTCAAATATTTAAGGAAGTCGCAACTAATCATTAACTTAATTCATTTAGCAATAAATTTTGCATTGTTTTCTTTCAAAAATTTTTAATTTACATTTTGACTCTCATGCTTTTTTTCTTTAATGAACAATAGATAAATACAATCTGCTTATTAATTAAACGTAACGAATATATGAATTTAATTTTCCGTTAGTAGAACTGAAATTTCTTCTAACTATAACAGTGACGTGTTCATATTAATTGCTCACACACAACTTCACTATTGAAATAATTTGTAAAAATTTGAAGTATTCATTGCTTTTGAAAAGTGAAAATAATTTTAATTAGAGTTTTGAATACTTCCCAGCAGCATGTGCTAATTTGCTTTGTTTTCTTTAAAGGAGTGTTGTTACTCTTCCAACGTCAGTGTTTTCATCAAGTGACATCGAGTAAGTTCTAACATTTAATTTGTCAAGAAGTCTAGTTAAATATTTGCTATTAAAATTAAATGGTTTGGTTCATACCACAATTTAAGTAAAGTTTCCTGTGATATTTAGTACCAAGATTTCGTTAGTTGAATCAAGCAAGAAATGATATAAATGAGTTAAAGGTAGTTTCATGTCACAGTGTGGATTTAATAAAAGATATTATTTAAATTACAATGAAATTGGGCAGATAAATATTGTAAAATGATATTTTGGCAGAATATACTATAATTACTGGTATGCATAGATGATCAAATTTCAACAAAAATAATAATACAGCTCTTCAATAATGTATCACTCTTTAGCAATGCATATCATAAATGATCAACTCATATAAATGAATTTCAAACCTGTAAATTTTCTCGTTGTTTCAAGTAATGTTAGATATTTTAAAGACTTAACAACTTTTGCATGTATACGCTTTTCAGTCGTTTTTCTAATTTTGATTTTTTCATCTTTAAAGCAAAATTTTAGATTGCTCTAAAGCACTGCAATAGTTTGCAAAAAGTTCAGAAATTTTTTAATTGCTATAACAGTTTTGGCTATTTGGCTGCAATTATTGCATGAATTTTAATAAAATACTAAAAATTTCCTATGAAATAATTTGAGCAAATAACATGAGAAGCAATATTCAGTATCATCGATATATGAGCAAACTAATTAAAAGTTAAGTGAGAAAATTTACGTAGATATAAATCAAAAGTTCTTGAATTACTGTCATTTTGGCATTGAAAATCAAGATTTAACATCATACTGAGCACAAATATCAAATACGAGAGTAAGATTAACAAAAATAGATGTTGAAGCGTAATTTATTTAACTAAAAGTTTGGTTTGTGCACGGATTTTTGAAATGATAAAATCAAAATGAAAATAAGGAAAAATTATGATATTAATAGAGATTATTATAGCAAAATTGTAAAATGTAGCAAAGCAAACTTTCAAAAAATTAAACTGTGTTATGCTGCAGAAATATCATTGGAAAAGTTGTTAGTATGCATCGTTTGTTTTCTTCACAGCGTATAGTTGATGGAAAGTATGTCGTAGCACTCAGCAATTATCAAGGAATATACACAAGATCTCTTCTCATGTGAAAACTTGAAATTAATATTTTAGATATGGTGAAGGACCTTACCAGCATAAAGAAGTACCTGCAAATGTCACATCTATTACTTTATCCGAACTAGAACCTTATCAAGTTAGTTGAATCAGTCTTGCTGAAAGTACTTAACTCGAATTATTGTTTCTTACTTGATTTACTTGAAAATTTTTTCTCAAAACAAACAGATTCATTGCTAATAAAATTCGATAAATTCTTTAATTAAATCTCCATGAATACTTCATGCATTTTCTTGCATTAAAGTAATAGTAATTTATGACTTCTGAAATGAATATCGAATATTTCATTATTGCTTAGAATGAAATTAAAGTCAATAATTTGTGCAAACTGGTGCTAAAAAATCATTTTTTGAGTATACAGTAATTAAATTCTGGAAATAAGTATTTAATTAGTTATTTTCGCATTATTTCAAAAATTTTGATGCGATGATTTTTTCTTTTTGATAAAAAATATGATAGGTTAAATTGGTAGTTTTGAATTTAATAACATCTCATTAATATATTGTGTGTAGCTATGAATTTAGTTTGCTTATATTCTAATATATTTTGAGATAATATTTAATATATCTCTATATAAAACCATAGATACTTTTGTTTATTTTTATCGCTTAAGTCATATTTGTGCGAAGAAAAGTTTTAGTTGTACGAAATTGCGGTAGCAACAGTGAACACAATTGGTCGTGGACGGAGTAGCATGCCAAAAGAGGTACAAACGGATGAAACCGAACCAGCTACTGCCCCTCAAAAAGTTCAAGCACGAGGGTTAAGCCGGAACTCTATTTTAGTTCGTTGGGAACCTCCGGAAAAACCAAATGGACAAATTACAGTATGAATTGTTATACTGTTCAGTTTAATTTAAAATAATTAAAATATAGATTTAAATTTTTGAACTATATGACTAATTAAACTTTAAATAAATTAGTCACATTTTTTTCAGGGATACATTATTTACTACACCAATATGGATCCGTCGACACCATATCCCCTGTGGAAAGCAGTAAACTTTGATTGAAGTTAAATTGAAACTTTGAATTTTTGCTTAATTGATGAAAATCAGAAATTTTTGTTCATTTTATCCATCTATTTTTTAAATAATTTATATAATTTAAAAGAACAAAAGTGAAAATACAAGTCTTGAATGTATATAAGAATGCATAAATCTTTAAATATAAAAAATTATTATGGAAAAAAGTTCATTAACAATTATTTCGATTCTTATTTAAAATTCAAAATTTTTGCTCTGTATACTTGCTATCTATAATAGAATTTGTATAAGAATTAATTAGGAATGTAATTTTCGACAAACTTCGAAAATTGTTAAGCTCAAAACAGTTCATTAAAATGTGTGAGGAAAAAGAATTTAGATGCCAAATAATCACTGCCTTTTATTGAATAAATTGAAATTCAGTTAGTTTTTCAGGTCGAAACAAAATCAAATGAATTGATGGCGACAATATCAGATTTGGAAATGGAATCTACATATTATATTCATGTACAAGCAAAAAATGCCAAAGGATTAAGTCCGATGTCACAACTTGCAACAGTTATTGCAAAACAAGGAAGTGAATTTTTTTTCTAATCCAAAAATATGGTTGATTTATTGATAATACCTTTCATCGCTATTTAAATATTTATGTATTCCTTCTTTAGATTTAAGTTAATTATTAATTTCATTCAGCTAGATAGAATAAAAATGATTGCAATACAACAAGTTAATAATATCAATCATAATTCTATTAAAAAAGTCACTGCATGTCAAATTTTAAAATTCAAAATAGAAAAAATAAGAATTCTATTTTAAGTCATTTTAAGTCACATTTCAGAACCTCAATAAATCATAATTGCATTTGCATGAAGAAATGTGTATCCTTTGATAGTCTTCCAACTCATAGCAAAAATATTAATTTGCTATGAGCTATTAATAATGAAAAAATTTATACTTAATCGTATTTTTTCATTTTATCTTAAACTTGGAACCTTTCAACTTAAGACACTTAAAAACGCATTGTGCAACATTGAGAAATCAATTAACTGATTTATAGCAATAATATTTTTGCTTGTATTTGATTTCATGGACTACAACTGCTTTAAGAAATTTTGTCATAATTGCTATTCAGTTCCCGGGCAACCAGTGAGTCTCACTGCAAAAGCTCTCGATTCTCGTCGGGTACAATTAATTTGGGATAAACCACTTCATTCATATAATATAATCGGTTATTCAATCATTATCAATTCTTCTAATGGAAGTGGTCGAGAATTAACACTTACAACACCTACTGAAAGGCATATCATCGATGGCTTACTTCCCAACACTTTTTATTCTTTTAGGTTAAAAAATCTTGATTTTTTCATTAATTAGTCCTCAAAAAGGTACTAAAGTAAAGGTTGTATAAATAGTATAGATAAAATAAAAGTAAAGACTGAGATTTGATTCTACTGAGATAGAAAGATTTTAAAGATTATAGAATCTTACAGTAAATATATTAAATGAACTGCAGTTTTTTGGTAAATAAAATGGATTTGAGTTTTTTGCTGAGATATTATAGAAAAATACCAGTTGCGCTTTAACTGATCTATTTTTCCAACTTATTTTACATTAAATTGTTTAGATAACGCATAATTTCACTTCTGTAAGATTTGCCGAATAATTTTTTGTTCATGTTAATCATTTTGCAGAGTGGCTGCTCGTTCCACACGTGGTCTTGGTGCTTATTGTGAAGATGTTACCATCAGAACGCATCCAAACGGTATGAAATTACAAAATTTGAATATATTTCTCCTTAGTTAAGCAAAAAAAACCTTAGTCTTCATCATGAAAACAAGTAAATATTGAATATATCCATGAAATAATTCATTCATGATTTATTTCATGGATATATATATCAATTCTACGACATATTTGACTTTGATAAGTTTTGTATCATGTTGTTGTGATAATATCCGTTATTTGCATATTGTTCAGTGTCATATTTGTGTTATAAAAATTGCATGGCTTTACAAATTGCACGTATTTGCAGATTAAAATAGTGAATATTTAGGTTATAAGTTTGTTAAGAAGTTCATTCTCGCAGATTGAAACACTTGACAGCAATTAATAAGTGGTAATTATAAAAAACTTAGAAATTTAGAAGACTAATCAATCCATTAGCTTATTAATTTTTACTTTTAAAGTTTATGTAAAGATGGAGAATATTAGTAAACTTTTTGGCTTCTAAACCAAGAAAATTTCTCTTGGACGTCTGCATTCACAGTTCTAGAAAGATATTTGTAATTTGGTAAATGTGCTACCATTTGGAATTTGTTTGTTTTTCGATATTGATTGTTTTTTATTATTAGTAGTTTTGTATGCAATTTGGTATTGTTTGCTCAATTACAGCTCTCATCGGTCCACCGCGGATAATTTATCTCAAACCACTTTCTTCGCGATCAATGTTCATCAGCTGGGAAGCACCTGAGCAGCAGAATGAACTGATTCGAGAATATGTTATCCGTTGGCGTCAGGTTTCAGCTAATTCTAAAAATGATCAAGCGAGACTAAGTTTTAGTAATGAAGAAGACGAGGAAGCAAATACGCCTGTAATAGATGAAGAATTGGCACATTACTGGCAAGAAACAGTTCAAGATGCTACACTGAATTCCAGTATAATCATTAATAATCTGAAACCAAATACAGTTTATGAAGTGAATATAGCTGCTGCAACTGATACAGGTTACAAGTCAACAACTCGAAATGAACAAGTGCAAACTTATGAAGATGGTTCGTGACTAAGTTAATATTTGTGCATGTCTGCATGCTATGTCTTGCTTTAACTTATCTGCCTTGAATTCTACACTTTTTATTTTTATTACTTTATTATGGCATGCAAAACTTAGCACTACAATTTCATATATTATTAATTACTAGTAAACTACTTATTGGCTGAAATGTTTGCAATATTAATTAGAAATAAGAATAATGAAATAAATGATTCAAATTTCTTAAAAGATTTATATTAATGTTTGTTTTTTAAGAGCCTGAAATTGCTGCACACAACAGACCAGGTAGGCTTTTAACTTGTTTATGTGGTCACGTCAATCCATGTAAAAAAAAAGATGTTTTAGCTAACATTATTGTTTGCTGTTAGCATTATGCATGACAACTTTTAATAAAATGCTTTTAAATATTTTGCAGTTGCAGTAATATGAATCAAAGATTGCCATATAAACTTCTGAAAAAGATTGAATAGAGCATAAATTGAAAATTCATATACAAAAAATGTTTTAAATACATTGAAAAAATTATTTACTTGAAAATATTTGAATAATTCAACGAGGCTAAGAGTTAATAAATTTGATACGCAAATAGTAAATTACAAGAAAAATAAATAAATAAAAGCAAACTTAAGAGTAACACTTCTGGAATATTTCCAGGCAATATTCATTTTTCAAAAGTGTTTAAGAATAGCAGATTTCTGAAAGTGAATGTCTAAATATTCAGAAATTATTTTGAGTTAGAAATTAAATAACATTCTTCATTTTTTTGTTCAAATTCTTTTTTGTTTTTGAAAATTCCATTAATTAATCACATTAACGAAAAGCGTAATTCATAATTTTTTATCATTGGTATTTTGGTCGCAAATAGCATTTTTTGTACTTAATTTTGGCGTAATATTTTGTAAAAATTGCGCGTTTTGCTTAAGTAAACAAATATTTTCTTCTTACAAACTCCGAAATGTAACTTGAACTTTTAAAAAGTTTCTGTGGAAATGATTAAGTACGCCAGTCTAATCACTTTACCGTCAACTAATAAAACTTGTTATTTAGTCAAAAATTTGCTTTTGATGATTTTTTTAAAGTACTGAAATTGATGAATTACAATTTTTCTTAATTTGTTGTTATACTGAAATTTAAATAACATGAAACTTTTTATGTTATAAATCTTATTATAAATTTCAAATTAAATCCTCGTTTCCTTTTTATTTTTTAAATTTTAATATACTAAAAAGAATTGCAAACCAAAATACATTTTAAAATTGAAGTGAAAAAATTGTAGACGTATTTCATTTTCAAAATTATAACATTTACCTTTTCAAAAGCAAAGTGTTCTCAGGAAACCTTCTGCATCTTCTTTTTTTGCATGAATTTAATATTTGCAATTCATTTCAAGAACTACTTTCAGCAATACTTGAAAAATTGGCGACATTATTAAAAGGAAAATCCAAATTTATATTTCAGTTCTATTTTATGCAAGAATTTATTATTTTCAATCAAAATTTTCTCTTATGCTAAACTTTGCTCTAAACCATTTTTTCTGAAAAAATTTGTATTCAAATAATTAAATTATAGAAATTTTAAAATTTCAATTAAATATACATTTTTACTGTTTTCTATCTGTCTGTGATAGCATTGAAAAAACTATAAAAATTTATTTATAACTTGCATATAACATTTCATTTCATTTCATTTCAATTTTTTATTTTTTTGACACTTTTCTACACAGTAGAATCATATTTCTTATTATTTTTTGAAATAAAAGCACTTCATATATATATATATTTTTTTTTTTGAAAGTGTTTTATATAAATTTAGAAAACAAAAAGACTTATTTATGCTCTTAAAAATAAATTTAAGTAATGCCACTTTTCTTTCTAACTCTCAAAATTTTAGACAAGTTACAGTGATTGAGATATTCTCATACTGATAATTTTTTTATTATGCATTTATATTTTAAAGCATTGCTAAGATTATTACTCTAATTTTCGCTACTTTTCATTTTACCACTCATGGATTGTTTTTTAAAATGTACTAACCCTAAATACTACAAAAATTTACTGTATTTATTTTAGAATTGACATACTCATTTCTAAACATTTTACTGACTTAGATAAAGGTTTCAAGGTTGCAATTTTTTGAAATTCCTCTCTCATCATTGCACGCATTAAATTAAAATGTATTTTTCGCAACTTCTGTATAAATTTCAAGGAAGTTAAAAATTTGTGGGAACATGACGAGTTTCCATAACTGCATTCACTTAGCTAATAACATATAAAAAGTATTGTTTTCGTAATTTTTAATTTATTATTAAAAAGTGAACAATAAGTTATTAGCTTTAAATGCTGTATTTGCTTTCTGCTTGCATGAAACGTTTTACTTTTTGATTTTCAGCAATTTTAAATTTGACATTTGAAGTATCACATTGAACTGTATATGTTGAAATTAAAAATTTGAACTCAAATTGGAAAGGAAAGGAGTAAATGTGTTGGATTAATTTAATTACTCTATTTAGATCAGCCATTTCTTGCTTTCATCTAAACTTATGTCTTTTTTGTTCGTTCTCCTTCTCTATAGATATATTCACAAAAAAGTCATCACTATTTTTATTTGACCTTTTTTTTTCAAATCAAATATCTTGTAACTAGTGCTATTATGGCTTCATTTCCAATTCTTCTCAGAGTCATTCGCTCGGAAACTGATCAAATCATACTCAATTTGAAACAAGCGCAGTCTCTTAATTCTCAGTGATGGCAATGCATAAATTTCAGTTGTTGTAAGTTTTTTTAGAAATCAAAAATCATTTCATAAATTTTGCATGAAAATTGCTGTTACATTGTGTAATGCGAAAAAACTATCTCAAAAACAAAACTTTTGACCACAAAAAATTTTAAAAATAAATAATAAATACATCTTTAATTAATGAAAAACTTTATCTCGAAAAAATAATTTATAATTCTGAAATTTTAATGCATTAACATCATTAACTGCAATATTTCTCATAGCAAAAGTTTTATTTGCTATTTTTGTTATCATTTTTGCCAGTTGTTCGAAGTTTATGGATTTCATCTGAGTCGTTTATGTAGGCGTAAATTTATATGATGTAAATAAGGATTAAAAATACGAAAAATTATTGGAATATTTCCTGAGGCTAAGGTAATCACAGCAAACAAATCAGTATTCAAAGCAATAGTGATAAATGGTAGTAACACATCGAGCACATTAAATTTTTCCAATTATGTATATTATTCAAATAATAATCAAATTTCAGTACATGTTAATTTGTAATTGTTTTTCAAAAAAAAATTTTTTTGATCAGAAAGCTTTATTATGTCTCAAAGTTTTTGTAAGAAAAAATGATTACTAAAAAATTTTTGTGAATTAAAAAACAGTTATAAATTGTACGTGAAACTAGAAGTTAACTGAAAGATAGCAAAAAATGAAAAAATTTTTGCCAAAGATGTTCTAACAAAAATAATGAAAGTTGATTAGTTGATAAGTAATTAATATTATCAAAATTTTTTAGCTGCCATCGGTTAGACAAATGGTCGTAAGTTATGTTAGTATATAAAAACGTAGTTATTATATTGTTGTAATGAGATTTCAGTAATGGTGCACCATTTATTAAGTTTACATATCTCATTTATTTTAGTGTGTAGTATGGATTCTTGTGAAGTAATATCATCAATGTTATTACGAATAACAATGAAAAACGATGACCATTTACGATGGATGAAATTTCCGCTCTTTCCGCTTATAATTTATGAATGATACATATTTTACATACCATCAATATTTTTAAAATCATGTACAAACATGAAAAAAATTACTGCTTTCAAACAAAATTGATAGAAAAATGCATAAAATAAAAGTATGAAATTGTACACAATTTGTGATCCATCAATAATAGTAAATAATTAAATACTAATTCTGCGAAAATTGCAAAGCATTTAAATTTAAATTTGATAAAAGTGTACATTTCTACTGAGATAATTATTTAAAAAATTTTATTTATTTATCTATTTGAAAAACAACAAATTCATTTTCATTCTTTTATACATACTAGTATGCGGCTGCACTTTTTTTTCAATTTTTTAATATCTAGAAAACTATTCTATTACATCTTTTTACTTTTTTAAAATTTTGAAGTTAAAACACTGATTAGTAATTAGCTCTGTGTATCAAAAAATTTCAGCAATAGAATTTTTTAAACATTTTAATAATTTTAGATATTATTCACAAATATTTTTTATTCAAAAAGCAATATTTTCAAGAAGACAAGAGAGAAAGAAGGATAGATAAGTACTAGTTAGCAGTGAATTTATATTATAATAAAAAAAGTGAGAGTACTGAAAAGGCGAAAACCTTGACGGAGTATATGTGTAAGTGTACGAAGTAGATTACTGATAAAGTTTGTTTCAAAAGATAGTTAGCAAGTTATTCAGATGGTCAGGTAATTAATTAATTAATTAATTGTTAGTTAGTTAGTCTGACTACTGTCACGGAAAATGGATTAACTCAATAAAACTGCTACCAATTATGACAAATTTATGTTTATTTTTCCGTATTTATTAAATTAAAAAAGATTAAATACTTGAAATTGATTTTCATTTTTTAAATGTTTCAATAACTTTCATTACCGACTTCTCTTCACTTTTAATATTTTTGTTCAATTTTAATAATACTGTATCTACTTTTTTCTAATAACTCAACAACTTATAAATTATTACTTTTTTCCAATAAATAAATAAATTTCACTTATTACAAGTTTAACACATCTGTAAATTTTTTCGAGTAGTTTTTTCAATTTCTTAATTAATTTTTGTAGATGATTTTGAAGTTTGTCCTAGTATATACATCCGTTTTTGATAACCAATGATTTGAATTATATTAATCACTAATTCTTAAAACCTATGCCAATTGTTTCGTTCTATACTATTTATCGATCTAAATTCCTCTTGGGAAGATAATTTTAGCAAAAAGTTTTCAGTATAATGTGAAATTTCAGTGCGCGC